CACCTTCTTGTGACAGTGGACGTGAGGGTGCAGGACCAGCTCCAGTTTATTGCACACATGGCATCCTTAGCGACATAAACTTCGCCGATACACGACATGGACAAAAGGTCCTCTTCGCCCTTTTTTCTTTCCACTGACTCGGTGGCGCGGGAGGTGCATTTAAGTGGGAATAAATGCTGAGCTGGTCATCCTTTCCATTTTTTCAATGCTCTTCTTCGTTTGCGATCAGGAACGAAAGTCCGGCGAGAATGTTTTGCAATGGCGATTTCCCTCATCTCTGCCACATTATCTACATCCTCAATAAGCGGATCCTCACTTGAGGAAGGAAGCATCGACAGTGTGCCTTATCTGTCCTCAATCCGTCTTTGTCCTTTTGGATTTTCGACACAAGAGGAAGGTGAACAGGATGAGTAATCGGGTATGGTTTTCGGTATCGGTTTTCAAAAATGTCCTTGTCAGTGACTGAGACGGATGTTTGTGGTTTGATGAGTATTGCCCGTTGTACCCAACCTCCGCAGTGCACAGTATTGCGCGGTCGATTTGACATTCTTCCATGACATTTTACTGAACATCATCCCGTGAGTACGATAATGTCATTAGGTACTAGGTGAGGAACAAACAGTCTGGTTGAGAGAGAGACTCTTTTTGAAACTTCTGGAGGCAGAAAGAAACGGTCATACATCAGGAAAATTGCTTTCTTCCCTCTTGATATAGTGTCTTAGTACGGGGATGGTGCTCGCAACTACCCAGAAAGGAGTAAAATTAGGGTACAGCATTGTTGGGAGAATCCCATGGGTCGTAATTGGTCGTTGTGGAGGAAGAGTGGGTTGGTGGGGGTAGTATCTACTAGTTTTGACATAACAGAAATTTTTTCACTATCTTCCACCGCCTTTTAGTATGCGGCGCCATCAGAATCCTGCTATACTCCCCCCTTTTTTGAGTTGCAAAAGTTATTCAGTGACTCTTATGCCCCGCTTCTCTCCCCCTCCCCCGCCCGACAAATTCGGGCAAAAACTGCAAATTTCTTCAGAAAACTGGGAAAAAGTGGTATGAAGGTGTGAAAACATAGGAAGGTGAGAGCTAGGTTGAGGAGAAGTGGTACAAACTGGCCAAAGGTCTGGCTAAATCTGCCGTGGAAGAAAAATTACGATCAGAATCTGGCCTCAGTTTCGGAAAGTGGGCAGTGAAGGGTGAAAAGTGAAAAAGGGTCTTATTTCGAGCGTTTTCTACGGGTTTTTTTTGCTTGTCAGGATTACTTTCCATCCATGTTATCAGCGATTTGCAGTCGAGAATGGGTACTGACAAAGGAAACGTCTGAGCGAAGTAGCCCTTTATACAGTCCTGTCACACTCTTT